GTACATTTACTGTGAGGACTTGTACACTTCAATCTCAAACTATGTTCACAGCAAACTGTACACGTAACACTGACCAAACTGTCTCGCACCTTCTGGTGGGTTTAAAGGATAACAAGAGACAAGCAGCTTTACATTGCTAATATAATACACCAAGGAAGTATGTGAGAGCAGTCAGACCAACTAATCTGGCTAATGCGGACCCAGGTGAAGTGGATACTGCTGGTAGCTGTTTGTGCATTTCATTTGCCAGAGGTTAATGCCCTTTTCTAGCAAAAGCTTTTTCTTTCTTTTACTCTCTCTTCCATTTTTTTTTTCTTTTTGCCTTTTTTCCTTTTCCTTTCTCCATCATTTCACTCAGTTGGGTTAGAAAGCAGACAAACAGTGAAAATAACTGGGCTAAGAAAGAAATAACCTTCGATGGGGCTGCCAGTGAGATAGGGACATCCAACAGGAAGGAGTAAATATTTCCACCTGGATGATAGTGATGATAAGCAGGTTAGTCTGTCTGTCTGAGATTCATGCTCCCATGAACTCTGCAGGAGTTGGGCATATTCAGGAAGGATAAGTGTAGTGTGATGCAGGGGCATGAGAGGGCTGTAAGGACGAGACAGGGAACGGAAAGCTTTTCTTATGGAAGGAGGCTAATGGACACTGGTCTGGTTAGTGTGCAGCAAATAACAGGAGGAAAGAGGATGGTTCTTCATTAATACATCAGGAATGAAAAAGAGGAAAACAGTCACGCTATAGGGTAAGAGTTGCTTAAAAACAAGGGGGTATAAATTTCCCATGAGTCAGCTCAGATTAGGAATCGGGCAGAGTTTTCTAAAGAGCAGAGCAGCGAGGCTCTGTAGAGGCTCTCAGCAGTTTCACTCAGCAAAGTGTTCAGCCCAACCGGGCACATTTGTGGGCAAGCAATGCTGCGGCTATTCCCCATCCTGGGCTGCGGCTCTTATGCTCTGCCTGCACCACCGTGCACATCCCCATCACAGGAGCTTGCAGTCGGGCATGGTCTGGCACACAGGGAGAGGGCCAGGAACAGCACCGAAGCATTCAGTTTGGGAAAATAATTTAAGGGATAAAATCCTCACTGACTGTGGAACTTGTGTGTGGGAAAAACAGTAAGGAGCTAGAGGCAGAGAATGACACCAAAAGGAAGAGGTTGGTGTGAGGGAGATGTAGCAGGTTTTGTTCTGATGTCCCAGTCAAGACTTAGCTATGTGTTAGTAAGCAGACATGACTCAATGTTATATTGCTCAGACACTGGGGATGGGGATAATCAGGCCAGCCAAGTTCAGACTTCGAATGTGTGAAGAAGGAGGCCACATGAAGAAAAAAGTTGCAGTGCAGCCTTGTTGGTGCTTCAATTTATTTTCTCTGGAGCATTTGCAAGTGAGAATTTTCCTTGGACTCGATAACCTTTGGCAAGGGCATGGGTGGCAATGACCAACTGAGAACAGCAAGCATTTTAAACCACATCAGCATCACCAGCTTTCTAAATATAAAAATAATTAATTTGTTTTCATACTTGAAGCTCAGTAAAGCCACAAAACCTCAGGGGCTATCCACACTTGAAAGCTCGTTTGGATTAAGGCAGTGTGGGAATTCACACTCTCTGGGCTCTGCTAGAATATTTAAAGTACAGTTGACTTTTACTCCAAGTACGAGTTTTTCATTACTTGACTTAACACATTTTCAAAGAGGGGAGTGTCCACACATAGAGCTACTCTGAAATAACTAACCAGGCACGTAGGCAAGTCCTAGCAGCTAGCACTAAAAGTAAGTATTTTCAACACTCAAGCACAGCGCCTATGCGGACTCGCTCACACACTCGGTTTCACACCGATGAATGTACCTGTCCCATTTGGAAGGGTTGCTAATGCACGTGCCAAAATATTTACAGGACTGGGGGCCTGCTTTGTAGAAAGAGATGCATGCTGTGCCCCCGAGTGCCACCTTAAAGAGAAACACAAATCCCCGGGTTGAATGCCAGTGTATCCCATCATCTCTCCCATCTCTCTGATGCTATTCCAATTGGCTCCCTTGCACTCCCAGATAATTCACACATGTTCACTCAAACACAAACCCTACGGCACCCCTTCCACCCATGAAAAAGTAAGCCAGTTGTTACAAAATTCAGACATTTCATTAACACAGTTTACTGGCTGATACTGCCAAGCAAAATAAAGACAATTAATAATAATCAGGACTGAAGGGCCCGAGACAGCTTATGAGTAAAGGATTGTATTGCTTGTTTAAAAAGTAAAAACTCGCTCCTGCATGGAGTGATAGGGAACAAAGAGCGGTGATGTATAACCAGGGAGGAAAGAGACTTTCTCCATGGCTTTTGTAGATTACTGTGTGAATGACAGGAGCGGCAGGAGCAAATACCTCTTTTCATTTGCTCAGCCGGTTGGAGAAGAATAGCAGCTCCTGCCAATGAAGCTGCAGCTGTGCTCCAGCTCTGTTTAATCACTGTGTATGACTGAGGGTTAATTAGCTGCCATTCTTACTGCTATTTGTTGTTCTACTGAAGATTTGCATAAATGTAAGACTAGGGGGTAACTGATACTTGATTTTTCCCTTCAGAGTGGCCAGCGGTGGAAAATTTGCCCATCCCAGGTGTTTATGTTTGTGGGAGATTCAGTGTTTCCTTTCCATTTGACCTGATCTCCTTTTGGCTGATGAATGGCGAACAAAGAGTTCAAAGCTGCTTATCAAATCAAGACGCCTGTTGGGTTTTTGCCTTTAGAAAGGAGCAGACTAGTTAGATGAAGAGACGACTGAGGGATTAGAAAATTTTTCCCAGCTGACAGAGAGGAAAATACATATATGCATGTTTCTATATCTGTATATGTACATATATATATGTGATATATTTGATAGTCATCTCAGTGATATGTATGTGATCTATCCATCCGTCCATCCATCCATCCATCCATCCATCCATCCATCCATCCATCCATCCATCCATCCATCATCACATCCAATCTGGATGGCAAGGAACCAATCATTTGTTAACGATAAAATGTCATTAAAAATTAAGGGAAGAGTCAGCACAACCAGAACAAGATGTAGCATATTAGGTAATATGCTGAAAAGTAAGAAGTTGTAAGATTTTGTAAGTCTGTTGGACGTAGCTAACATTCAAAGTTCACTTTTTAATAAAAAAAAGTATTTAACATGAAACAGGCAATTTCAAAGGAAGGCAAAAATTACTCAGCAGTTCACAGCTACCTGCCAGCAATGCCTCATGAGAGGGAAGTTCACAATATAAATTAAGAAATTGCATTAATTCCTCACAAAATCATAGTAAAATTTTAACATGAATCAGTAACAAAATCCCAACCTAGTTCGCAATTAAACAGAACATTTGAAAATGAAATATCATAATTTTTTTTTTATTTACTATGATCAGGACAATGATTATAGCTGCTAACCAAAAAACTAAAGAGAAGAGTAACTTCTCATTTTTAGCATGTTAACTTGTGCATAGGATGATATAGAATGGGTAACTGTTTTCAGTGTTCCCCTTAAACACTTGGTCTGCTACAACTGTTGTTGACAGCCTCTGTAAAATAGCCTAAGGGAAAGAAAAAGACTGAGACGCAGAGGTAGTAGATTTCTAAATTTCAAATCACTGCTGGAAGGTGGCTTTCAAGTTGACTGTATCCCTCTAAAGAGAGGTGACCATAAGAGAGCACAGAGTTATTGACAGTTTCTAAATCCCAACACAGCTTTGTAGTGTCTCTGTCTCTTCACCTGGTCTCTAAGACGCATTAGCAGATATTAATTTTCTTTTCTTTATACTTCTATTATCAATCCACCTGACTTCCTACAGACACCTCTGCATATTTTGGGGTAGACACTACCAGAAATCAATCTTTCAGATTCAGAGATGCAAAGAGCATCTAATACACCTGAAACAAATGTGCCTGAAATGGTAACACAGGGCTTAATACTGCTCCAAGCTCTTAGATGGGTTTTAATGCTATATAGATTAACACTATGGGTTTTAATGCTATATAGATTAACAAACCCACATGAAAATAAAGACAATTGCATTTTTTACCACTTTCACCTTACTTTGAGCTTTGAAATATTCCAATCTTCTGTTATAGCTTTTGATTCTGCCCTGATTACACAAGAGTCTCACATGCAGCTTTTTGCAAAGGAATTTTTAGCCCTTTGGGTATGGAGAAAACTTTAAAACCAGGAAGCTTACTTAAAGGCTTAAAAACTACATGGCAAATTAAAAAAAATATTGACATGTACAACAAAAAGCAAACCAGCACCAACCCTCACAACATGTAAACAGATCACTTCATTTTTCTTTAATGATTCTTTAATAATTTCTATATACTAAGATTTTCCAACATTACAGTCAGAATCACCCACTGGTAAACTAGGTATGAGAAAGTGAAAATTACAGATCTAGTGGTCAATGGCAGAAAACAAATGTAAAAGAACTGAGGGGAGAGGTTAAGTGCTATGCTAGTTAATAAGAATGACAGCTTGCTTTGAATACTCACACTGGCTGTCCAGGATATTGAATAAACCTCATTTAAATTAATTTTCATTATTTGTAAAGTCTGTGTTAGACATCTATCATTGTCAGTACTATTAATATTCTTTTCAGAGACCATATTATCAGCATATTTAAATGAAAGCTTTCCTTTTCAATATTTATTAACTCATTAATATTTCTTAGTACTAATATCCTGGTTGTAATGTCCAAATTACTGCCTAGTACACGGTGTTTTCTACTGATTAAACTTTCCGAATTAAACGATTTTTATTCCCAAGTACTAAAAATGCATTTGAGCTCCTGAAATTGTGCTTTATTTCTATACTATGTCTTAATTTCAAGGAATGGCATATAAAATTCACATTTTTGTCTTTTTTTTAGTAGGTCATAGTAAAACAGTGCACGGATCATGTCCTAGTAGCTGACTGAATATGAACTGTGAATGAATGTGCATGTGAACGTTAATTCATCTTACCTGGGTTGCAGTCTGTGAGGAGGGAGCAGATGGAGAGGAGGACTTTAGAAATGGTTAACGCTGGACTCCAGTTGTCTTTTAAAATATCCAAGCAGATGACGCCTTGGCTGTTAATGTTACAGTGGTAGATTCTTGTCCGAAACGTTACCTAGAAAAGACAGTGTGCCTAAGTACAGTAGTGTTCAAGCCAATAATTACACAATTAGTAAGCAATTATATTCTGCCTTCCTGGTTGAAACGACAGTACTTTGCTAGTGTCAGTTAAAGACTGGGCAAGATATGGATATCCATAAGAAAATAAAGTCTGCCTCTTCCACCTGTGGCCAGCAATGGAACTGGCTTGTGCAAGGTGAAAATGGGACATGTTTCCTGAGTTCCTTCTTGCCTCATCGATCTCATTATTTCTGTATTCCAGCCCGTGATCTGGACAATGTTCACAACTCAGGCCACAGTTACTTCACACTTTGAAGGGAGCCAGAAATAAGACAGATTCTGCCACTGCCTTAATATGTTCATTTTTTCACCCAATAGATTAAGCTAGAAAAAAAAGTGGAGGCATTACATCAGTACCTTTGGAAAAAATAAAGTGAAGTGTCTTTGAGAAAGGCTGCTCAAATAAAGTGCTTTTATTTCCAAATTTTAAATTACAGATGAATCAGTAGGATTGCTTACAAACATATTTTGGTAGTTAATTTTGAGGTTTTCTGTATCCATTTTATACTGTTTCGTAGGTTATCCTATATGTAACAAAACAAGGAGAAGATTACTTCTTTTAGTCTAGAATGATGTGCTTCTGCTTCAAGTTGAAGATACAGGCCATTTATTTTAAAAGAAGTTCAGCTATGAAGGTCCAGTCCTAGTCCTCTGAACTTTGTAGTTCGAATGAATACTAGGGCTACTGCATAGGAAGGGACAATATTAAAGAAACACCTCCTGGGAGTCAACAAGGACTAATTTCTCCACCAGTTCTACTCAAATGACAAGTCAGACCAGATGGTTTTAACGACATCTTTGTAACACCTAAAATGAAGATGTACAATTTCAGAGTTCTCCCTCACCCTGACAACAGGGAGGCTGACTAGGCAGAAGACAACAATAGGCAAAGCACCCTCCAATTTAAGAAAGCTGGGCTCTTCACTAGAGTTGGACGGTGCTAGTAACAGAGTGCTTATGCACACTTATGAATCTCCCTGCTCTACCACACAGACAAACCCGTGTCTGGAGAGTAATGGAAACTGTTGGCAGGCATGACCCTGTTCTGATTTTATTGAATATCAGAAATCTCAGCAATTTCAGTGTGACTGAGATCAGGCCATTTATGAGTAAGCAGAAGAGAGGATACAAGTGAAATACACAGTACCTGGTTTAGTTCTATTAGAAAACACCCATTTTTAACACACTGAAAAAAATCTTCCCCTTTAGATTAAATCAGGCAGCTTTGACAAAATAATAGAAAGAAAAGGTAGTAGATTTCAGGTATTAAATCACTACATTCAATAAGAAACACATTTTCTTATAAGTACTTTCCCACATAAATCCGGGAAAGCACTTTTGGAGCTCACTGTCATGCACCGGTGAGTTCTGTAACAAAGATCCCAACAAAGCAAGTTAACCAGTTTTTAAATGCATCTATGTCTAAAGGCATTGCCAATTAATAGGATAATTTAATACTTTGCCACTCCATACCCTACATATTTGTAGGTTCTTTCCTTTCTTCCCTCTCAGTTGTGGTTTCATTTATTGTTTTCCAGCCTAAGTGCTTTACTTCTAGGCTTTTTATGAGAATTTAAAATATTTTTGGCACAATGAGCTAAATTCATCCAAATGCTATAGGCAGATGATCTATTCTCAACCCCCATTTGGAGTCCAAGCACATTCGGCATTTGGAGTGAAGGAAGTCTTCCGCGGGATCAAGAAAATAGCATTTTGGGATTAAATCACATGTTCATCTACAAAGGGAATATATTTTGAATAAGAAGGGTTACAAATACAGGAAAGTGGTAAACTAGCTTACATAAACTACCTGTTGAAAGTGTCCACAAAGGGAGCTGGTGTACAGAAGCATCCTGTGAATTGTAGGTCAGTGCTCATTAAGTCCCCAGATTAACTCCAGGCACTTTTATACTTGAGATACAAGAAAATCAGGGAATGCCTCTTAGCAGCATGTCCCAAGACTTAGGCAAACGCTTTAGCATCCATTTAATTTCCAGTATCATATGCTTATTTCACAGAACACTTTTCGGAATAAAGTTTTTGCTTAATTATTTTTCCTCAGCAAAAGTGCTTTCCCTGATGAAAAGGTGCTTCCATGATGAAAAATCTTAAGACTTTATTCAGTGGTATCTGAATACACTGAGTAGTAAGATATATTTTCCCCAAATGTAGGGGAAACACACTGGATCCATTGCACAGATTAAATTATACCCTCTAAATTACTTATAGACAGGTCAGTCTGAGCTTGTAACCTGCTTAAAAGAAGGCCATCAATTTGAGCCTATATTTTAATCTGTTTCGCTGTCAACTAAGATGACAGATATGCTGTCACATGTTCCCCTGCTGCAGTTGCTTTTAAAGCATTGAAGCAAGGATATTGGGAATTCAGAGAGCCACTGGGATTAATGGAGGTTGCTCATGTCTTTTAGAAGCTGTTCAACACTCCACTGCCATCTTAGGTTATCTGGTGGATAAATATAGGCGGGCTACCCTGTTTGTAGTTGGAAAGCTATTGTTAGCAAATACTTAGACCTGAAATGCAGCATTTTTTCATGATGAGCACAACTTAAACCCGTCATGCTGAGGAAGGCACCCACTCGTGAGATGAGGGTTGCTGCTTTTCACTGACAAGTATGTTACTGGCTTGCCAAACGTGCCAATGCACTTTAAAATGCCTGCTTAAATACAGGGACCTTCTAATGGCAACATATCAAAATTTTCAGAATTTCAAAAGAAGCTGTATTAACAACAGTCTTAATACACTGGGAACCATGGACTGATGGTGGCAGGTAACGATGTTTTTATCCCAAAGCAGCACAGAGTACAACTGGGATAACATATTGCTTTCTTCATCCAGGTATTGCCTCAAATTGCAGCTAATGTGGCAAATGCTGACATGTAACTTCCTGGATATTGTTTACCATACCCACATTTTGAAGCTATGCAGGGTCATTCTCATGATATGTGTGGAGAGAAACCAGTTGGTAATATCATTCCAGGGGAGCTACATTTTCTTTATTATGGTCATAATTTTACCTTTGATGACACTTAAATGGTTCCTATAAATGATGCACTCTAATTCTATTTATCCCCTAATGAAAACTCCTAAACAACCACATGCAGGGGCTCAAGGGACTTTGTGGGTGTATAGAAGTTATCCTCAGACAACTGAATGGTAGAGGAGTAATTTATTTTCTTTTGTGAAAGATAAGTGTCCCCTATGGATTTTATTCTCTTTGATTCTGCTGTTTTAAGAGAGTATCTCATTTTTGTTGAATAAAAGTGCAGGGCAGGAAAATGTGAATTACAGGAAATAGTGAAAAATGGGACTATCTTCTGAAAACTGTAAGAGTTCTATAAACAAGCTTTTGAAAGGTAATAATAAGGAATTTATATTAAGTTTTTGAAGTAAACAATAATAAACTCACTCGTTTACTGCTGATTGCTAAACCCTTCTGAATACTGTAAATCAGAATTAAATAAATAAACCACCCCTTTTAAACAGGCTCTAAGAAGAAAATGATGTTATCTGAAAAAACTATTAGAGAGAAAAGAAGTACATGTAAAACTATGGCTGACTGCTCATTGAATAAGTTTTAGAACCAAAAACCCACTGCTTATAAAACCTGGGTAGAGTGAATTGAGATGGATTTCAGTTGAGCAAGTGGAGGCAACTGGTTGTAGGCAAGATAAATCACTCCTGGATCTCAGAGTGATTTTAAACACCAGTTTTCCAGCATGATGTAGTTCTAAAATCACTCACTATCTCTCTTTTGCACCAAATGTTCCTATATGAGGTCTAACCCCAGACAATGGAGCATTGGCATTAACTTGTATGACCTGCTTAACCTTCGCTGTGGGATTCAGACAGGTGTCTGTGTAGGGAAAGATGAAAAATTCCCAGAGTCAAACAGAAGAATAAACAAAACCAACCCCTTTTGCTTGGCCAACCCTGGAAGCAGGGCAGAAATCCCAGGGCTCTCAACCCTGCAGTTTTGGGAAGCCCCTTTCAAAGTCTTTAACTTCTTACAAGGATGTAATCCTGCATGCGTGCCTGAGATGAAACTTCTGTCTTCCTCAAATATTCCCCAGGAGCTTTGTTTTAATAAAACTTTAGTGACACTACTTGAAGTGGAAGAAGCTATACTGCATACAGGAAAGGTTATAAACATATTAAAAAATAAGATGCTATTTATGATGATGTTCATGGAGCTCAAGATGGGGTAAGCAGTTCCAGGCTCAGTTTGTCAGACTTTGTGAGCAATAGATTTGTGTGGTCCAATAGAGAGAATAATAAAAACAAGATCAGGCCTTTAGTCTATTGGAAAAATACTCTAAGCCAATGTAAATGAAAAATATCTATAGCTCTGAGTGACACAATGTTCATGCAGAAACCAATTATATTAATTAGCATCCTCAAATTTCTTGCAGAGTGCACTTCATTTTATCTATACCCAGCACTGAGGCTGCCTTTCGCAGACAAGGTGGTCCCTGGTTTTGAACCACAGATTTGTAGTATGCACAAGAACAATTGCTGAGATACTTAGTAGATTACCACAGAAAGTGCATTACAAATGACTGACTACATGATGCTCACTACTAAAGAGCACGATCTAAATACATGCAAAGAAATGAACTTCAGCCAGTTCTTAAACTTGCTCACACCTAATTTCAATTGGCAAGGAATAGCTATAGTTTATTTTATCTAGGAAAATGTCACCTGCATTACCAGGAAATATGATATGGTAATTAATTTTGCTTGACCTACAGAATTACAGTCTGATATGCAGACTACTTTAGGTTTCTGTGGCAAAATGCACCATGAGAGAGATAGGTAGCCAGAAGTGACAGCAATTTAAATGGGATATAATAGCAACTACATGAGTTAGCCTTTAGTATTGCTGAAAGTGAGACAGTATGCAATGTGAATAATTA